TAGTGAAACCGGTGATATGTCTATTTGACTGATGGTGCATGAAGGGAAGGGTGCGGGTACGGTTAAAAAAGGCTTGCAAAAAATGCAAGAAACATGGGTAGCATGGTATGCTACTTCAACTTCAAAACTGGGGGGTGAAAACAAGCATTGATCATCTATAGGGTCATGCCAAACAGTATTCTGTAACCAAATAATTTTCCTTAATCGGGCCGATCGCCAGATCTTGATATAATGGGACGTCGTAGAGATGAGTGACGGAAGTATGTAGTTTGAGGATGGATGAGGTACTAATGTTATGTTCAGCCTGCTTCCATTTGACGAGCTTCGCAGAAAGAAGATTGTTGGGGGTCTGTGGGTATTATGTTCCACGTTTTCAATAATTCAATGCCCGCTTCTAGGTTTCTAATAGTGTAGGTTCTTTCCTGGTGTCTGACCGTTATTTTTGTGGGGCATCCCCATTGGTATGCGATACTGTGATTCCGCAGGGCTTTGGTGATAGTAACCAGTTTTTTACGGTTAAGGAGTGTAGTTTTAGAAAGGTCTGCGTATAACTTGATATTTGAGTAAGATGGTGATAGTGGTGGAGGGTTTCTGGCTGCTGACATTATTTTCTCCTTTATATGGTAAAAGTGGATCCGCGCCAGAACATCCCTAGGGATTGATGCTGACAGGAAAGACGGCTTGGGTATTCTATGAGCGCGGTCAATTGCGATCTCTATATCTGAGAGAGACGGTATAAGAGATTTCATGTATTGTTGTATAAAGGGTAGTAGTGCCTCGTTGGTGATGTGTTCAGGAATACCTCTAAATTTGATGTTGTTGCGTCTTGAGCGGTCCTCCAGGTCCGCCAGCTTTAGGTTAATTTGTTCGATGTCTGAGGTATGGTCAGCGTGTGCATCAATTATGTCATTGTGGGCAGTAATGATTTCCCCCATCCGTGTCTCAATATGGCGCAGTCTGTGGTCATGGTTCTGAATCACGGTAGTGATTTGGGCTAGCGATGCTGTCAAATCGCTATGTAGCGTCTGCCTTAGTGAGAGGAGCATATTTTTCATGCAGATCTCCGAGATAGGTTGGTCAGACACCGGGAACGACTCAATTATTGGGAGATCATTGGGATGCTAAGGGGATGGATGGATGAGGGTTTGGCACATGGATATATTGTCAGTGTCCAGCCGTGGTCTGGACTTAGCTGGGCTGCCTGATGTGGGTGTCAGGGGAGGAGAAGACTCACCAGGGTCCCCTGGGTAGAGTGGATACTGCAGCCTGGGATCTGTGTGCTGTGCCCTGTCATCCTCTCCCTGCTTGTCAGCTCCGTTCCGACAGCCGGCGCCATCTTGGATCCCTGCCTGGATTGCAGGGAAGAAGAGAGTCAGTTTCCCGGGCTGTCCCGGGGTTTCCCGTCGGCGTGGCATAGGTAGGGAGGGTTGTACACCTCTGCCCTAATGTGCTGTGGGGTTGTTGTCCCTCAGAGCCGGTGTGTGCCGCGTCGGGTCTGGCTTATGGACGGAGCAGTGTTACTCCACGTCCATACAGGAGCCGGCCGCCCATGCGTCCCCTACAACTGACATTTAATCGTTATGATCAGTCACAGTGATCACATGGTGACAGGGCCATGCACATCAGCCTGGTACAATGAACTCTGTTTTGCTGTGTCCAGTGAAGACAGAGGGTTATAGATCACGCTTCTGCATGGCCTATATGGTGCACACGACATGCAGGAGTGGAAGAACATCATATGACGTCCACCCATAATAACAGAGAAGTGGTTATGGACCCTGTGCACCTATATAGGCTACATAGGCACGATGTCATAGGCTGAGCCTTTTGGCTTATACATTTTCTTAAGATAATATATTTTTCATAAACATTTAGATGTATGTCTCTATCTCCTGCGGCCCTTTAGTATCTAATGTTTATTTAATTTATATATTTTGAGAATAGGCTGTTTTGTGTTTTTGTACACATGTTTATTGGTATGGGCATAGCTGAATACTAAAACTGATATTGTGCTATATTTCTCACATAAATTCAAAGTTTATGCAACTAAAGTCATCTACATGTTCTAAACAAAGATCTTTCATGAGTAAAACAAGATAGGCTAAGGTCTTTTTCACACTACCTCACACTTTTGTTTCTCGCCACTGCAACATTTAGGACGAGACTGGAAAGAGACTTCATGGATAGTAAGACTTAAGCAATCTGATCTGTAATTTATTTTTTAGCCACTGGATTGTTTGGGTCATCCTGCCCTGCTTAGTGAAGACCCAACTTGTACTTGGACCTGAAAAAAATTATACACGTGTACATGTTGAGTGCACTTTATTAACTGGCAAATGCCTTGAATGGTATATTGGGTTACACAAATAAGAGTAACATTAATTCTATACAGACAGAGTCGGAACAGTTTCAACTACTGGCACAGACAATGTCAAACCACAGCACAATAGACAAAAACCCAAATGGAGACCAACCTATCTGCAAGTCTCATTCTCTGACTACTGGCCAGGGGAGAGTTTATCTAAAGTCCTGCTGGAGTTGGGACTCTCCACAGAGAGTATTTGTAATTCAGAGAGTAAAGTAACAACACAGTCACCTTAGCATAAATCTCACAGCACGGGAATGATATTCTTCTGGGGGAAGAAGGTTCCTCATCAAATGATCTCACAGGATGGATGTGTGGATTGAAGCTAGGCTGCAGCTTCTAAGTAAAAATCAGTGAAAAATCAGCCCCCAGCTCTAGAAACTCCCTTTCAAGCCTGTATTCTATGATGGTCCTCTTAAGCCCACCATAGATGTTTTAACCTGCTGAGATTTATGTGTGTATGTATCCATGTATGGGCAGGCTGAATGTGCCCAAGTTGATCGATTGATCAACTTGAGTACAACCAGTTTGTCGGATTTTACATGCAATTATTGCTAGCACCTATTATATCAGTAAGCATTGTGCTCTCTCAGTGGAGATGGCTCTCCCCCCCACAGCCAGGAGAACACAATGGCTTCATGGCTCCATGGGAGGGATTCCCCCATCAACTGTAGTTGCAGGAAAGAAAGTCACTCTGTGGATGGCTCGGCCCTAAAGTATATTGCTTTGCTATTAAAATTCCCTGCAGTCAATCTCTGGATGACACACAGTACAGCTAAAAGTACATAGCACAGCAGCAGCCTTGTAATCTCTCACCTTGATCCTCAGGGCAGTAGCAGCATATGACCCTGGGCTCTCAACACACTCAGTCCAAGCACTTCTCAACTCAATGCTTCTCAACTCTCTGAGTCCTCTCCCTCTGGGCTCATGACCATCCTGAACCCCCAGGCTGACTCACATGTGATGGCCCATCAGAACCCTCCTCCTTGCTAGGTTACCAGGGGCATGCTTACTCCAATTTCCTCCCATCTCCTTGTCTATGACAGGGAGGGGAAAAAATCTGCCATTTGGATCATCATAAAATGCTTAAATTTGACATCAAAACATATTCAAATGCTGCACATGCTGCACATAACTGAGTGTTGAAATACTTTAGAAAATGGACAAAGAACAAAATCAGAGACTGATGACCAAATTAAACATAATGATTTCCACAATTTAATATCAGTGACTGACCTTTGACCTGCTCTTCATACTTACAAGGCCTTGGCCAAGTTTTTTAGAGATAATTTATTTTCTGGTCTGCACAGTAATTAAAAGTTGAAAATGAAGAAGCAAGTGACTTATTTCTATATACCATGCCATTGATAACTGATCCCTCACTAACTGATTCCTCACAAATCATTTTCCTACCTTTACAGACTTGGGCACATACACATTTCAGTGAACCTAACATGAAATACAAATTCTTCATCTTATTCTAAAAGACGTGTTACTGCTTTTTGGGGAAAATGTAACAAGGAGCAATGCTTGTAACATACAGCAAGTAAATATGAACCTCTGCCAGCATTCCACATTCTTCATGTACTGAACTACATGTTAGATCTGCTACTGTGTCACCGTGAAGACAGCGAGTGAGTGCAACTGGAATAATGTTGAAGCTGTCTATGCCAAATGTATTGGACCTTAGGACAGAGATCCCTAGAACCACAAAACATGCTGTTATATGTCCATACTTAAAGATGAATAATGCCAATTTTGGGAAATACTCAAATAAGATTTTTCCTCAGATTGTAATTATGTTATTTCAAAGAATTATCCGCTTATTATGTAGAGGTACTTACGAGAGAGACCTAAATGAACAATTATACTTTAAAATAAGGAAGTAAAGAAGTTGCATGCACTTAGAAGTGGTCATTTATTTTTACACTTGTATACTTGGAGTGACATACAGGGAATTTGTGTTTGTGTTACATAATAAAGTGAAAAAATAAGAATTTGATGGTGTACCTCTACATGTTTTCAGATACATGCCGCTATGGGGGTTATTTACGAAATCTGCATGGTGCAAAATCTAGGCCAGCTCTGCATAGAAACCAATCAGCTTCCAAGTTTTATTGTCAAAACCTAATTAATCAAGTTGAACTTAAAGGCTGGTTTGCTACCATGCACACCCGCACCGCATTCTGAGTGCACAAGTTTTAGTAACTCTACCCCAATATACTTAAACAAAAAAAATTTTTTAGTTGTTTATCAAAATTAAGTTGATTCGTTATAGCTTAAATTTTTTGCTTATCCTTTAAAATTCCCCTTTCAGCAACCTTCCCAAGTATTATATTTATCTTATTCAGCTATTTGCCATAAGGCTTGCTAACAGGAACACAGCCGAGGTTTTAAGTCTCCTTGCTAGGCTTCTCTTTTTTCATGCGTGTATGCCACAGTCAGCAATAATTCCTATAGAATGGCCATCTACTGTAGAGATGAAACCTTTAGAGAAACCTTTAGAGATAACCTTTCCATGAGAATAAACGGAAACCATGTTGTGCACACTTAGAAGTGACATACTTTAGCAACTTCCCATCCGGCCCATGTACATAAACAGCTGGACGGGAGCAGTGCAGGAGAGGGATGCTATTTATAAACGGCACCCGCATTCCCAGCCTGTGCGCGCTCCTCTGTGTGAGGTCCCGATCATGTCATCACTGATTGGCCAATCAGTGATCACATGAATAGTAGCAAGCAAGATGTCACTTCTGACATCATTGCTTACTACTAGTGAAATCTGTGAATGATCACAGAGGTCACATGGTACAAAGCTATTCACAACAGCCTTGCACCATGTGACAAGCTGTGACCAACCACAGCTCTCATAGTATTTCTCAATGGCTGCAAGAATACAGTCAGAGAGAAGGAGAAATGATTGCTTTTACAGCCTTTATGGGTGTAACAGCAATTAGTGTAAAAAAATAAATAAATAAAAAATTTTCATCACTTTGTCACTATGGCGACACTGTACTGCTAGGGTGACAGTATGTTAAAAAAAAAAAAACATAAATAATAATATAAAAAAATAAAATAAAAATGTAAAACATTTTATTATAATTTTTGGTTATAAACTAATTTGGGTTATTTTTGTTTTACTAAAAAGATAACTGAATAAATGTTGGGCAAGATTTATGAAGAAATGTTATTTATTTGCAAAATTTTATAAGGAAAAATTTTTTTTTCAAAATGTTTGGACTTTTTCATTTATATAGCAAAACAAAATCCCAGTGGTGAATAAATACCACCAAAATAAAGTTTTATCTGTCTCCAAAAAATTCTAAAAAATTCATATGGGTACAGTGTTGCGTGACTGTGCAATTGTCATTCAAAGTGTGATAGCACTGAAAGCTGAAAATTGGCCTGGACAGAAAAGGGGTGTAAGTGTACATTGGGGAAATGTCTCTTCATTTCCTTTCCCAGAGTGGAAATCTCCCAAAGTGAGGGAAATTCCCATTTCAGTTGTTTCCTGAAATAAATGTCCCCATTAGAAGAAGATTTTCCTGCACCTTTTGTTTTGTGGATAGCTCAAATCTCCCCAGATAGCAAACAATCCTAAAAGAACATTTAACCCTTACTCTATTCAAAGCTAAATAATGAGGTTTTGCCTAGAGATACACTTTAACCACTTCAATACCAAGAACTTTTACCCCTTTCTTGTCCAGTTTGATTTTCAGCCTTCACTTCTGTCGCACTGTTAATGGCAATTGCTCGGTCATGCAACACTGTACCCATATCAAATGTTTATCATTTTGTCACAAAAATAGAGCTTTCTTCTTGTGGTATTTAATCCCCACTGGGTTTTTTTATTGTTTGCTAAATAAACAAAAATTAAAACATTTATTTTTTCTTGGTTCTGTTATAAAATTTTGCAAATAACAAAATCTTTTTTCATAAAATTAACCAAAATCAGTGTTTAATATTTAGTCTATAGGAAAGTTATAGAGCTCACAAACTATGGCATATATCTGAAAATTGATCAATCCTGATATACTGATGGCCTCTCAATGCCCTTGTAGCCTCCAGTACGTAGGTAAAACTACCAGAAAGCTTTTGGTTCACATTAACACATTAATAATCAACATCAAGCACAATAATATTCCTAAAGGTTAGTTTCTCAAACCCTTTTGGATTAGTTAATAATAAGGATCCTAGCTGTTTGTTTTTTACAGCATAGTTGGTAAGACAAACAAAAAAAAATATCACCGCGTTACCTCACCTAACTTACCAATATATACAGTATATGTCCAGTCACACTCTATTCACTTCATGATAAATGAAAGTGAAACCTAAACAAGACAAAAAACTGTGTAAAATCTTGTTGCCTACCACTGCAATGTGTTTCCACACCAACAGACAGGGTCAGCGTGCCCGAAAACACGAGAGTCGCCATATTACCATACCTCTCCCATGGATGTCCATACTTAAAGACATAGCCTGTAAAAGTTTCTTATGTATGGGATTCAGTGCACTGAATGGAGAATGCACTTGGTTTGTGAGTATTATTTTAATTTATATAATAAAATAATTCTCAGTGGAAACATATTATGCTATGAGAGATTCTTTATCCTCTTACATCTTATTGAGGTGAGAAAGTTACTACACATGAATGGGAATTAGATAACTGGAAAATCAGTGATTATATACCCAGTACACGGGAAGGTTCTTTCTGACCTTTATCGATAGGTGGGTCATGGTGTGAAGGTAAGGGTCAGTGGAGGCAGGTGAAGGTGCACAGTGGTGGATTGCTTGGAATATATATAATCACTGGTGGAAGACAAAGTCACAGTAACATAATTGTGTAGACTTTTATTGCATTTTCATTGGGATTTTTTCACAGAAATGTTGGTTTTACTTCCACAGATTTACTATGAGCACTAATTTTACATTTACATTTATGGCATCACATTAATGGTATTTTATTTGTATTAGTGCATTGTATGTTATTGGATCGTTGCACTGCACTTTTATTGAATTTTACTGTATAGTTGTTAAGACATTGGAGAGGATCAGAACTTAAACAATTTGATTTTCAGAAAGGAGACCTTCTGTACCTAGACACATTAGACCCATATGGCATTATGGAATATTGAAATTGTTTTAAACTGTATATATATATATATATATATAAATTTATTTGATTACGAACATACGAACAATACCCGTATTGATTTTACTATATTCCTTTTAGCAGTACCTTTTATACAGTCATTTTTATTTTCATATGTTAAGCTTTCACCTCTCCCCACCCCCTTCTTTGTCCATATACCCATAATTACCTCACTATAAACTCATTTTTTTTACATAGCTTTCATGAACCAATGATGTCATTTTTAACTTAGAGTTCTCCCACAAGAAAAGTTTTTCTTTTTTTTTATTATTATTTTATTGTTTTATTATTACCTTTATTCTGCTAAAGATAAAAGTATATCATGCTTTCCAATAGTGTTCTTATACATATCACTTTCTATAATTTGAAATTTGTACTTTTAAATTTGTATTCAGCATTGCTTCAGGATGAGTCGTCCGCTCTGATTGACACCCCATCCTCTGCTAATTACACTCAGCCAGCCTTCCCTTTAATGGTCTTCTATATAATGGCCGCTGGCCAGGGTTACCAGAGACTTGACAAAGCGCAACTGCGCTAAACATGTCGTCTTGGTAACCCTACACATGCTCCCAGCTGAAGACACTGTCTTCGCTTGCCATGGTGACACCACCCAGGACGCCGGTACGCTGACACCACGTGATTTGAAGTCAACAGGAGCATTCTCCTATCTCAGCTCCCTTCAGAGCGGACGGGCTGTCCATTGGAGTCACACTGTTCACTTAAGGCTGGTCAAATTTTATTATATTTGCTACTTTGTCTCACCCAATAAAGATGCACCTTCATTAAGGTGCTTGTCTGAGAGCATTTTCCACGGAGCCTATTTTTTTCAGTTCTGTATCTTGTGTCTGACTACCCGTGTACTGAGCCCAACTTTGTCCACTAACTGTGCTTGTTTTTCACCTGTCCTGACCTTGGCTTGTTTATCGGATTTCCTGTTGTCTTCTGCTATAGTACTCTGCTCACATGAAAGGTCTCCGCATTCTCAGCTGGACATACCTGGGGGCTGTTACCTGGTTCCAGCTTGCTGCAAGTCCATCCCCACCATCAGGGGCCCTGGTGAAGAAGCAGGCTGGGGCTTAGACTCTACACCCTGGGGAACCTGGTGTTGGCAATCTACAAGGGCTCACTACCACAGACGCTTGACAGCCATGTGTTACCCTTGTCTCAGAGAGAAAATTACCAACCTTGCAGATTCTATGCAAAATGTTGGAATTTGAATATATATTTGTTGAAGGATTTTAACCACTTGCCCTCCTGAGGATTTACCCCCTTCCTGACCAGGCCATTTTTTGTGTTATGGCGCTGCGTTACTTTAACTGACAACTACGTGGTCATGCAATGCTGCACCCAAATGAAATTTATGTCCTTTTTTTCCCCACAAATTGAGTTTTCTTTCAGTGGTATTTGATTGCCTGTGCACTTTTTATTTTTTGCACTATAAATAAAAGTCCAACAATTTTGAGAAAAAAACAATATTTTTGACTTGTTGCTATTAAACATGTCCAGTAAAAAAAATTAAAAAAATAAAATTTCATCATAAATGTAGGCCAAAATGTATTCTGCTACATGTCTTTTCTAAAAAAAAATCCCAAATACGTGTGAACGTTATAGCGTTTACAAATAGCGGTATATATACTGGGATTTTTTGTTATTTTTTTATTTTTACTAGTAATGGCGGCGCTCAGCGACTTATAGCGATACTGAGGGGCTGCAGTGACACTAGGGGAAACTGACTTGGTGTCGCTGACATCCCCAGTGACACCAATACAGTGATCAGTGCTAAAAAAAAACCCATTGACACTGTCCTAATGGCACTGGGCGAGAAGGGGTTAACATGAGGGGCGATCAAAGGGTTAACTGTTTGCTGGGTGTGTTTTACTATGGAGCCGTGTGTTTGTGCTTTACTGTAAGCACACTGCTTTGTATGACTGTGCTGTGCACAGCCTTGCACAACAGTATGCATGAGCTAAAAGGGAGGAGAACTGTTTTGTCTTTCAGCAATCACAGGGCGCCGGCGAGTAATCACCGGCAGAGACCGAGTGATTGTCAGCCGTGGAACCTGGAAATACCCGGAAATGCAAAATTATGTATATATACGTGATTTTGCACACCTGTGCAGCCCTGTAGCAGTATTTCTGCTATAGGGTGGACGGGAAGCGGTTGAGCCTAGAATAGGGTGGATATCTCTGCTGGACTTTGGTACCATAAACAAGTTTGAGTAGATTATTTTGAACCTCTTCTGTAGGTGTTATGGTACAACAACTTCCTGGGACAAGAGGTGGTTCAGGGTCTTTCACAAATCTGGCTGCCCTTAGACAGTTTTTTTTTAGGTTAATGTGAAAGAAAAAAGTGTCCAGGCAGTAGAGCTTTATACTTGTATTCTTTTGAAAGCATTAGTTGAACCCAAAGGTCTGGGATGCCTGTGACCCAAAGAGATGCAAATTGAAACAGAAGCTCTCCAACTCTTAGGGGTGATGGTGCCCCTTCATTGTTAAGAAGACTTTGGAGAGGGTTTCTTGGCCTTTGTAAGCCAAGCCTTTTGCCCAAAGGAAGAGCTGAATGTAGCAGACTTG